TTTAAATCATGGAAACTAAAGATCCTATGCACAATTTATTGAATTAATAATTGTTTTTATAGCTATGAGTGCACTCTAAATGAAATCACTTCCAGAAGCGCATCATTAAGCTAGGTAGCCTGTGAAAGGAATGACAATTTATACAATGATCTGACATAGGGCTAATTCTATAACCCCTAACCACGCAAGGCTGACAAAATGGGCAATAAAAAAAATTAAGGCACAATTGTCACATACGAGACCGAGCGAGGCCAGCATTAGCAGCATGAAAGGCAGTAGCTTGAGACCATGGAGACTCGGAAGTGGAAATCTCGCTGACTAGACGGACTTGTTCGCCATCGGCATCTGATCGCGAGCAATTGATAAGGTTGGATCGCCCAAAACCCTTAGCCGCTGCCGGAATTCGAGACTGTCTATCAAAACCAGCGGGTCCGACATTAACCCCAGTTGTGGAGGCAGGAAGAAGTGTGGGTTTGGAAAAGACTTTATGCTGGTTGCAAGGTTGCCCAGGAGAAAGTGAGTGAAGGACGGCCATACATGGTGACGGGCCGCAAGGCGAAGGTGATGGTGGCGGAGAATGTGGAGTCAGAGTGCATAGATGGTCAGGATACGCCGGCGATGCAGAAGCAACAGAGGCCGACAGGCTGATTGGAGAGAGGCCAGTGCAGGCAGCAATGGAAGCAGCTGTGTTGGAGTTAACTGAGCCCGAGAACCATCGAGCATTATGGTCTCGGGTTGGGGTGGTCGTGTCACTTAAGCTGGTCAGGTTGGTAGTCCCAGAAGCCGCGATGCTTGTAGTTGTGGGGCTGGCAGCAGTGCTTGTGGCGATTCCTACTGGAAACTGAACAGGACTGATCAGGGAGCCCGCCTGGCCAAAGTCGCCGGTGGCAGCCATCATCATCATCATCATCATTCGAGCCTGAGAATTGGCAGAAGTTTCATCTACCTGGCCAGATACCTCGAGATTGAGGGGCTCCAGGCTGTTGCCGCTGCCCCCAACAGAAATCGCTGTTGTACAACTTTTGGTGGGTGGCTGTCCAGGCATTAAGCTACCGATACTGCCGATGCAAGTTGGGGTCGCAACAGCAGATGAAGAAAGGAGACTGTGAGTGATGTAGGTAGGGTTGTGTCCGAGGTCAAGAGAACGCCTACCACGAGTACGCTTGTGCCTTGCCCGACTTAGGACCACTTCTTTGAGACGCTGACGAATCTGATAAAAACAAGAAAGCAGAGAAGAGACAGAATTAGACAATAATTTTTATTAAATAAGTTTTCACTAGACCTACTGCCTCTAAAAGCGCCAAAGGACAATGCAAATTAAAATATAAAATACTAGGAGCCAAAAAATGTTTAAAAATAGAATTCCCGAAAAATACTTTTAGCCAGATAACATGAGAGAAATTAGGCCAGTAGAAACAGCGAAGGTCTTCACTCGAATGATAACGCCACACTATACCCCTTTCAAAATAGGGGATTATAATAATTAAGTTAACAAAAATTTGATAAAGGAGTAAAAGACTAGGATGAAATTCAATAGCATATGCAAATATACCAAGACAAGAATGTCGGTAAATAAATCGACTTCACTTGTCTCTTTGTCAAGTTGTATCTAAGAGCTAAGGCCAAAAAAACTAACTACGAATGTACCAACTAGATGATGCGACTCTGTAAGAAACCATGAAAACTATGGCAGAGGACGTAGTAGGGGA